AATATAGTTGCCAGGTCTTACATTTTCCCTATAAGCTTTATGTTTTTTGTACATTTTACTGCTTACTTTTTTCTTTTGCCTGTAAGACAATTTCTCTAAGTTTGTTAAAGTGCTGATATATATTAAAATTGCAAGAATTTGTTAACCTTGATGAGTTGTATGATGAATTTTGTAAGTGTAGGGGTGTTTTATTAGTGTGTTTAAGTTATGAAAGCAATGATACTAATAAATGGCTGTATTTTTTTCTAAAGTTTCTAAAGAAAGTGTTCCAAACATAAATGAAGTCATAGGGTTTTACTAAGTACTCCAAGCTATACCACCTTTGTAGAAAGGATCCTTTCAGTAATGAAGAATAAATGGACAGATGTTAGAAACAGGAGCTGTCCAAAGCTGATCAAAGCAAAGTTACAAATTGTACACAATTTCCCTTTCACTTGTAAGCAGTTTAATCAATTTGCAAAACAAGATAAAAAAATTATTAACAGCAGCTAAATCACAAAAAAAAAAATATTAAAAGGAGTAAATATCATGTAAGTTAATGTCATCAATGTATGTTGTTTTTTTTTTGAGAAAATCCTACTGTAATGTCAACTTAAAGCATATTTTTCAAACTATGTTTCTATCTTTGCAGCATTAAAAGATAGAATAATAGTGTTTGTGAAAAGCATCATTATAGATCAGTTACATTCAACTGTTAAGCTATCATCAGAATGAAAGAACACTCAGTAATTTATATTGTAATCTCTACGTAATTTCATTTTGGCATATAGTATGATAGTTCCTTTGTGTAGATCAACAGTATAATAAAACTTCCTAACCATATGCAAATAAAGTAGGATAACTCGAAATCACCACCAGAGGGCCTGAAGCAGTTGAAGAATGGATAAGGACAGCATGGTGAGAAGAATTCTTCATGTTTTTAATGCAAAGTGTCAGAACCTACAATAGAAGGCTGACACTTGATCGTTTTTAACATTGTAACCTCTTTTTACTTGTTTACCTGTGTTTTTTGAAAAAGTTTTTCTTCAAAACAAATACCATGTTAACTGTTACTTCTGGTGATGTTTTAAAATAGGATTATGATAGACTCGAAAATTTGATATTTTTGTAAATAGTCGAAACTTCAATTATGAAGAAATGTATCCTGAGTTAATACATAAATTGTGTTCATATGGAAATAGCATTGTTTATTTCATGCACAAGAAAAGGGAAACCTCAGAAGTGTTAATGGTGTAACTACAATTTTTACGAATGTTGTGTTGGCTATCAGTATCTGAGTGTTGTGGATCAGGAATACAGAATCGATTCATCAGTTTGTTTAATTGACTAAGAAAGTCACTATCAGAATTATTTCCTTCTTCGAGGTTTATAAGAATTTGTGGTTTACGTAATTTGTTGGTACATAGCTTGGTAATGTACCCCCATGGATTTTTGGAGGCTTTTTTGCAATAGTCTTTCCAGCAGTTTAATTTTGTTAATTTTATTTCTTTTTTATAGATGTTTTGGTGTTGTAAATACTCATTCTTAAGATTGGATCGTTGTGGTTCTCTTCTACATCTTTGGAATGCCCTTCTCTTTCTATTGCATTCTTTACGAAGATCACTGAGCCTGGAAGTCCACCACGGTACAGGTCTTCTTTTCATTTTAGATTTCGGAATAATATTTTTCCTCGATTTTATATTTTAATGTTATTGGTCATGATGCTGGTGACAGCTGTTATATTATCAAAATCATAGTCAATAAGTGAGCATTGTAAATAAGTTTGCAAAGATTGCCAATCAGCTCGAGATGTAACTTAATTCAGTGTAAAATTTCAGACCAGAATAATATTTTATATCGCACTAAATTATATAGACACCCAAGCTCATAAGCTTGGGTGTCTATATAATTTAGTGCGATATTAAATGCAATGTATGAATGATCACTTAGTGATTCCTCATGCAGTACTCGCCAATTAGAAACCCTTGTTAAAAGTGAGCTAGTACATGCAGTCACATCTATCCATGTGTCCCCACTATGAGATCTATAAGTGGGAAATGACAGACGATTATTAACAACAGTAAGGTCGTTGTTAAGAAAAAATTCCTCAAACTCTTCACCTCTATGATCTAGCTGATATCCTCCCCAAGAGCGGGAGTGGGCATTTAGATCTCTAGTCACTATGATGTTGTCTCTTCTATAGATACTTAATATACTCTGTAATTTATCAAGGATATCCCCAGCTGGTGCAGTTATAGGGCAGTACACAATACCAAGTATCAGTTTTGTATTAGCGTCCTTAATTTCCAGACATAATATACTCGTTATTATAAACTTGATGAAATAGTATTGGCAAATTCTTATTAATGATAAGGGTGGTGGCCCATGGGAAATTATTTGTCTCCGTTATGGTGATACAGTTAGTCGTAAAGCAACTAAGACGGTTATTGTGACAATAGGGTTCCTGCACTAGTATGATATCATAGTATTTTAATTGAATGTTTAACATAGATGAAGCAGCTATGCTTCTTCTAAAGTTGATTTGCAGTATACGTAAGGGGTTATTCATTGTTGTCTTCATAGTCGGTATTAGCAACTAATTTATCTTTAATTCTTACAAAAACTGGGCAGGAACCACTACAAGCGTTATGTGCAGTACTTCTATTTTTCTCATATTCACAATTGCAGCATTTAGGAATGTTTTTATAGTTAGGGCAATTACGATACTCATGATTGCCAGCGCAGTGGCTACAAATGCTGATATGTTGTTCGCAAAATTTTGTTGCATGTCCATATCTGAAGCAACGCAGGCATTGTAATACCGGGCAGAAATCTGAGACTCTACACCTAGATTAAGTATGATACATGAACAGTCATTTTTCCCTCAGTGTTTGCGAAGAATATTACAAGACATTTAAATTTAAATTGCTTACTTCAATGTCATTGGTGTTGCGTTAGCCACGCATAATAATAATAATAATAATAATAAAATGTTATTGCATATTCTAATTCAGTATTTTTCAACCTTCTTGAATACGCGGCCCCTTTACAAGTTAAAAAATTCTGACGACCCCCAGGGCCATATTAAAATTATATTAGTGATTTTAAAAACTACGTATTTAATTATCTTTCTTTAAATATTGATCGAAAAACCAATCGTAATGTAAAATAAACAGGCACAGCCTTCTCACTGAAATTGTAGCTTTTTTTTATTTAGTGTAGGACCTACAAACACTTGTCTTTTATTTCACCCGCGACCTCTCCTCCTGTGAAACTTTGCGACCCCTCTGGGAGACGCGACCCACAGGTTGAAAAACACTGTTAAAAATCAATAAATTACAAAAGATCTATTTTTACGGAAGAAGTCGCTGCAGAAACACCAGAATCAAAACAATAGGGTCAATTCTTACACACTCATTTTATTATTAGTACATAATGTACACAGATCACATCATGAAATGATTAGAATCACTACTACTTTCCAAATCATGTTATTGCAAACAAAATTTCATACCAAAATAATATTTGTCAAAAACAAGGCAGCTTTTATAGTTTTCAGTTTGTCCATCCACATTAGCAAATAGTGGGCACTCTACCGAAGCTTTCCATCTGACGTCGGCATGACAGCGATAAAAAAACACATAAAATACAATAAATAATAAAGAAATTATTATTAATATTTAGAAAATCGAACATGGCCTATGGCTTAGATCGTTTTGATCGCAGTCATTGAGTCGGTGACTAAAGCCTTTGATGGCTTATTATTCTAACTGCGGGCACCACCCACTTAACCTTTAAAGAATAATGAAAATTCGAACTTTTACGACTAACAAATGACACTTATTTTCACAATGTCTAAATACAATAAATAATAAAGAAATTATTATTAATATTTAGAAAATCGAACATGGCCTATGGCTTAGATCGTATTGATCGCAGTCATTGAGTCGATGACTAAAGCCTTTGATGGCTTATTATTCTAACTGCGGGCACCACCCAAGGCTCTTGTTCCTGCTCGTCGTCTGCTGCGGCGCCATAGTAGGTAGAGGCAACCGACGGTGGTGCTTAGCAGGATCTTCATTGATCCCTCATTAAAATTTCTTGTAATATTTTTAATGATACATGAAGCCATCAGATTAAAGAACACAAACAGAGTAAAAACTTAACATCTATCTGTTCTCTGGGCCGGATTTAAGGCTATTGGAGTGATATGCGCCAATCGGGCATCGCGCTTAAAGAAACCCCGCAGCACATCAAAATTTATATATTTAAAAATAGTTTCAAATTACAGAATAGATTATACAGTTTAGCGATCATGTCGATTGAGAAGCAAGAAGCAAGCCAGATAAATTTTGATACTATTGTTACGATATGTACTGGTGGCGACACATAGCGGCCAACAAAAAACGAAAGTCGTCTGTCGTCTGTCATACAGTCCATAACGAGTGTCTCCTCTTTAGTAGTAATAAATAATAATTTAAGTTNTCTCTATTGGCCCGCTGTCACTACGCTTCGCCAATCGCGTTAATTCTTGGCAGTTGTAGCGGGCAGACAAGAGTGTCATGGAAGTATGCGATAAATGATGATATCAAATGTGAATAACAACGAAATGTAAATAACGGAAAAAGAACAAAGAAGGGAAAATAACGGAAAAAGAACAAAGAAGGACGGCGAAATGAAAATGTGAAAATAAATGTGAAATTGAGTCGATAACATAATCGAACAAGTCGAGGCAGCTTATTGGCACGAAATTCGCGGCCGTCAATGCCTAACAATTGTTGTCTTAGACATAAAGATAAACAAAACACCTTTTTTGCCGAGAAATATAATTTTTAAACAACAAACGTTTTCAGCCTAATTAATAGGCCATCTTCAGGTTGAAAAATACAACGGAACGTAAATGTTCCATGAATAGAACATAAAAATTTAAATCAAAAATTTTTTACAAGAGAAAATAACGGAAGAATATTTAAAAATTAAAATAAAACACTAAAACAAAAATAACATAAATCTTCAATGTATTAATTCTGGTCGGAGCTTGTAGTATATTTCTTAACCAAATATTTCCATGCCGAAGGCAGGCTCTCGGAATCCCTCGCATTTAAACAGCCTTCTCTTATCTTACTTCTGTATATTTCTATTTTTTCTGCCGTCATTGCTAGAGTTGGGGAAGACAGAGGTTTGATGATTGTTGCCTCGTCCCATTTCACCTCAGATCCTTGTGCTTGCGCCATTTGTGACAAAACCGTTGAATTAGACGCTTTTCTTATGGCATATCTATGTTCCTTGAGCCTTACTCCCAAGCTTCTGGTGGTGACGCCGATATAATCTTTTTTAACGTCCAGTTGTAAGTTTTCATAAGGAATCTTATACACCCCTGCTCTCTCCTCCGCTCTGATATTATCCTTATCGTTTCTCAAGATCTTATACAAATTAGGGGCTCTTCTTAATACCATTCTTGATTCCTTTCGTCTAGCAATTTCCTTCATAACACTATTCATACTACTATTATAAGTAAATTTCGTGAGCCTAGTAGGAACATTTCTTAAAGTTCTTTTTACTATGCCCCTTTCATACTTCTTAAGCATTCCGACAATTACACTTTTTCTGTAACCCAGGGTCCGGGCCACCTGCAATACTCTATCAATCTCCTTCTCTCTGTCAGCGATTTGGTCACAATATAAATAAGCTCTCCTTATTAACGCTCGGAAGGCTGCCATCTTATACTGATACGGATCCATAGACTGGGATGGTATATATAATGGTGTGTGTGTAGGTTTAATATAAACACTTGTGGACAAATGCCCTTTCATAAACCGGATATTAATGTCCAAGAAGTGCACATTCATGGAACTCTTTTGTTCTAATCTCAATCTAAGCCCATCATTGTTATCATTAATTCTACTCATAAATTCATGCACCCTCCTATTATTCTTCCATAAGATCAGAATGTCATCCACATACCTGCTGAAATATACGATATCATCTTTGAACCCATGAAGAACCCTTCTTTCTAGTCTTCTGACAACTAATTCGCAAAGGATTCCTGAGAGGGGACTCCCCATCGGAACCCCTCTTTTTTGTCTGTAGATCTGACCACAAAAGATGAAGCACGACTCACAGCACACCAGGTTAGCCAGTTCTTCTAGCTCTTGCGTGTAAAGAAGCAACTGGGAGTTCTTTATGTACAAGAAATCCAATAACGCATCCACACAAGACTCAATCATTACTGAAGGATACATGCTTTCATAATCTAAGACGGTCGCTACCTCATCCTCCATTAAAGATATATCTTGTATCTCCTTGACAACAATAAGAGGATCCTGTGCCACTAGATTATCATCATCAAGGTGCGAGGATAAATACCCGTGCAGCCTGTTTATTTTTTAAAAAACGACTTATACAGTAAAATTCAATTGTTGTAATCGCTTTCGGATCTGCCAATAGAGTGACAATAATTGATCTTCGTGCAAACTCGATTAGTTGTCATGTTTCTGAATACACTTATTCTAACAATAAGCGAATTCTCCGTAAATAATAGAAATGAATGTTATCGCCCTGAATAAATGACACGTACTTAAACAAGTAAAAATAACCACATCACTTTTTAAACAATAAAAATGGTTTTTACAATAAAATTAGTATTTATTGTAAAAACCATCTTTTTTTCGGTACATAAAATCAATTGTTTTATGTGCAAAATGAAAATTACAAAACGAAGAAAATCAGTTTAGAAACTTCTTGTTTCATGTTTAATAAAGTCTAAAATACGAGTATTACATATTTTTCGAAGAAATGTAGTAAAATTATTTCCATAAAAGTCATTATTCATTACTATTATGATGTTTAATAATATGATACTTTAAATTAGATTTAAAGCGAAATTTTTGTGAGCAATGATTACACGAGAATGGTTTCTCTCCGGTGTGAAGACGAAGATGTCCTATCAGATGATGTTTTAGTGTAAAACTTCGTTTGCAATGATCGCAAGAGAATGGCTTCTCTCCCGTGTGAGTTCGGAGATGTAAAATCAGATGTGCTTTTCGTGAAAAACGTTGCTTGCAATGATCACAAATAAAAAATTTCTCTCTGGTGTGAGTCTTGACGTGGTCAAGTAAATGACAGGATTGGGTGAACTGACGATTACAGTATTGGCAAGTGAAGAGCCCTTGGCCAGTGTGAATCTTTCGATGACATTTTAACCCATTTTTCGAAATGAATTCTTTCTCGCAACTGCCACATCGATACTTCCCATTTCTTGACTTCTGATTGTTTAAACCTGTAAAATATGATAAGATCATTAAAACCGAAACTCCCTTGAATTTATTGCTAATCGAATATGTAAAATTTTAAATTTAAGCACGCTGCTTTTAAAAGACTGTTAAAATTGTATGTGCAGATATTAAAAAGAATTTTCCTTTAGTAAGTTTATTTAAACTAAAGTTTAAACCTTGCAACTAACTGGATCACACCACATCACACCATAAATCATACATAAACTGCTTACACCAGTATTTGCAAATATTTTCAAGCAGTATACACATACTATCACAAATTAATGTAATTTATACATTTATCTCAAAACAATTTATATGAAGTGTGTTTTAACAAATAACATATTTGAAAATTATTTAAAATATCTTCATTTCATTTTCTGTTTCTCTTCATTTCTTTAACATATATTTTCCCCTTTTTCATACTCTCGTATAATTTCTTCACTGTCTTCAATTTAGTCTTCTGTAAACAGAAGTTAAACGCATTCCTCGACTCATCCTTTTTCTGGAAACAATTCTTCATTTGTTACTCTTCTTTGTATTGGTTGATAGTAAATCTGAAAATAAAGTTTTGAATGAAATGAGATACGAGAATGACGTCATACATTATTTTATTTAAATTCTTTCTTGAACACGTCACGCCACAAAATTAAAGCTGGGATTAAGATCTGAAAAATAAACGATTTTAAGTTAATTTTGTTAAAAAGGAATACTTTGAAATGTATTGAAAAAAAATACGTGGCACCATCTAATACAGTAGAACCTCGATTATCCGGACCTCTAATATCCGGATTTTCGATTATCCGGATTGTTCAAAATAAACAAAAATTTTACGACTTTGCTGATTTGCACTTGGTGAATTACGACATTTTATGTACGTGATGGAATGCATAACATTTTTTGTTTCAACAACGTCTCACCCAGCACAGTGGTCGTAAACTCTTAAATATATTTTGCGTCGTAATAAAAATATAACTTGACATACGTATTTATAAATAATTTATATTCAAATTACATCATTTCTATGACCAAGGGCGGCGTAAGGCATGGGCAACGTGGGCCACCGCGAGGCCTAGGCGGTGGCCCACGTTGCATTACTTATTGCTATGCATTACTTAAAAGCCGCGAACACGACGAAAAAATTTTACTTGTCATAAAACGATAAATGGTTTGTCAAATTTTTATTCATTAAAATGCAGTTTCAACTGCTTTTTATTTTATAAAATCCGTCTTCTTGAGCCGCCAGAGGGCCTTTTAAACAATAGCTAGTCTGTTAGCGCTGGTTAGTAGTAGTCCAAATTCAATACGAACTTTTGTTTCTTGAAAATTTGATCACGATTTAAATACAGTATTTATTTTTAATATTACCGATATGTCATCGAAAAGAAAACGTGTTGTATTATCATTGAAAGACAAATTAAAGTATTTGTTTCGATTATCCGGATTTTTCCTTATCCGGACGGCTTTCATCTTCAATTAGACCGGATAATCGAGTTTTTAATGTACTAATATAAATAAACAAATAAAAGAGTTAAAAAGGAAATTTATGCTTGACGGTTATCGGAAAAAAATAACTAGTAATTAATATAATTAGTACATTAGTACGTTTTTTGGGTGTAAGACAATGGAAACTGCACGGAAGAACAGCCGCTGATAAAATCTTGACCGAAAGAACCGTATGTAATATGCCTATCAATAACAACGTTGGAATATAACGGTTGCAACAACGTTATATTTACTGACGAAAAAAGTTTTACTGATGTATTAACTTGACATGTATAAATTACATTCTAATAATAATATTTATTAGAAAATGGAATTATTTTAATTTTTAAAGTGAAATAAATAAAACTCGTTAATGTTCTGACTTAACGCGTGCCACATTTTTGTCGAAAGTAATCAATTGTTAAAACACATTGTTGGATGTTTCCATTGTTGATGCCGTATTGTTGGAAAAAAAACGTTTGCTTTTTTCTTTTAATAGCAAGTTTTATAAAAAGTCAAAATGAAATGACAAGCGATTCAATGTTGGATTGAAGCGTATTATAGTATTATATTTCAAATACTATTATATAATATAGTAAAGAGGTTAGAAGTACGAAGTAATCTAATAATCTTTGCTGTTGTTAATTTTGCTCGAGCAACGTCAGGTCCATCTGCTAGTAATATAATATATTATATTTATTGATATTCAATAACCAGTTAATTAAAACTAGAAATAATAATTAAGTTTAAATTGAAGTTGAGATTATTTACAAAAATTAAATTAAATTTCCGAGTCTATCTTTTTGTAAATAACCTAAACTTTAATTATGAAAAAAAAATACATCCTGAGTTATCACCAAATAAAAAATTAAGTTTAATTAAATAAAAATTAAAACCCAGGCTATTACCATTGTAATTTCAATCCTTCATCGAAAGTTAAGAATTGAAATTACAATAACTCCGTTTCAAACATAAAACGGGGTTACCTGTAGATAGTTAATTAAATAAAAATTAAATAAAACACGAATGCAGAGAATAAAATAAGTCATGGTAGAGAAGCTAATTACAAGTTTTTGGTCTCTGCGCTACACTACTCATTCCTTCTGTAATTTACTTTAAAACAGAGAGCCTGCAGTTATTACCCAACACATTATGTTAAAATATTGAAGTTTTGAAATAAAGTAATTTTATTAATGTAATATATCAAATATATATGAAAACTTATTAAAATTGACTGAGTTATTCTGGCATATAGCCTATATTTTATTATCTGGTAATATTATACAAAAACGAGTATTATATACCAATAAATTCAGATGAGTGTGCGTGTTATTGAAAGATTAAATGTTAATGAGAATAATGCATTAACGGAAGGAATTTTTGCATTAATTTTCTCTATTAATTTATATATATCGATCGTTTTAAACAGAATAAAGCGATTATATAATAAATCCAATATTTCTGACTAAAAGCTTAGAATATACACGAACAGGAATAGAGATGTCTTTTTGAATGTTACAGTATGAATAACAATAAAATAGACCCAGATATTATACTTTCACCAACGTATATACTATTCAAAATACTTGCAATCGATATTTCTAACCGCAACGAAAATTGGCAGTCACTTACGAAATTCTACAGAGTGTGTCTTAAGACATTTTTCTTTATTCAGACTGTACAGTATGTCGTCATACTATCGACAGGAGATGAAGAATTAGCGTTGAATCTATGTGACGTCTACGGAGCATTTGGAGAAAATGCTTTTCTTCTGAGAATAATGCATTTATTCTCGACATTATTTATGTTAAAAACGTTATTAATTTGGAACTCGCAAAAATATATTCGGCTTTATAAAAAGAGTCAAAAATTGTGGTTTGAAATTATGAATGAATCAACGTTTGTCACTTTTCATTTGAGAAGGTTTATAGAACTTCAGGATATATTAACTCGTATTTGGATTATTTTAATTGCATCAGTTGGATTGAATATTGTGATGGTTTATCGATATATATTTTTACCATATATCAGTTATAAGTGGTCTATAACATTAGGTATTTCTATGTTTTTATGTATAATTTGGGATATATACATTGTATTGTATAACATTGTTTTCATTACTTTTGTCATTATCTTATGCGAATTACATAAGATACAATTGTTTGCAATAATTCACAAAATAGATAAACAGGGTCAAGACATTTCCATGAAACTTGTCTGGCAATGTTTGCAAAATTGCAAAGACAGTCTTAAATTTTGTAATGTTATTCAAAATGACTATTCCATTACTTTAGCCATTACACTATTTCTTGTTGAATTTTCAGTTGGATCATTTCTAATTACTTCTAAGTTAATATTTGTAAAGTGTGTACTAGAAATAATATTATTAGTACTCATAGTGGCGGTACTACTATACCTGTATTATTTATCGACTATTTCGACATATGTAAGTACATAAGAAAGTTATTTTAATTAACATCAATGGTAGTAAAGACTTTAATAATAAAACTGTTATATAAAAT